GTTTCCAAAATACACCAAACTATACATTTTACCTACTATTATTTCGTGAAGTAAATGCAAATTTCATAAGGCTTGGTCCATATAGCTTTTTACTGTCCAATATCTTGCAAATACGAAAAAGACCATACGAAAGTATATTTTGACAATGTCTATGTTTTGTATTGCACAACTATTGAAAGTTGATCATGCATTCGTTCTAAAATAAAATTTTACACAAGATAAAAGTTAAAAGATACTAAGAGAAAAAATTAGACAACCGCAATGGGTTAATCGCTTTGACGTCTGAAAAAAATAATAGCCAACACATACATTGTAACTTTTAAAGCTAGTTAAATTATTTTTTATGTTTAAAGAATGTGCGATATCATAAAAATTATTTATCAAAACATAACAAATACGCAAGTAAAGAACGTTTAAGTATTCACTATTAATCAAAACACAAAGGTTATTCCTGTACTAGTTTTTCGAATTATTTGAATTAGGCGCTGAGAACCTTTGGTGACCCCACAGTTTAAATGTCTATAATAAATACGACGTGATAAGTGGGCGTTACAGACGAACGTTCACCTAATTTAACCCAATCAATGGGAGACTTGAGCGCGCCAAAAAATGGTCTCGTCCACACTGTTATGAAAACGATACTATAGTTAACATGTTGCTTATAGTATCTAAGAAACAGATTAAACCAGAAAAAAAAACTAAATATTGACCATTATACCATGAAAATGAGATCAAGGTCAGATGAAACCTACCAGACTGTAAAACATATCATTGTCGGTATCTGTATGAAATGTGAGATACTTGATAGTTTGGGAAGGTCAACAACAGGGATGTAGACATACACAGCAATAACAAGTTTTTCCAACAAGAATGAAAATTATACAATCACCGTACACGGTCATCGTGTCTTAACAGTAAATTTTAACACCACTGCTTTAGACAACAACATAAATTTATACCATACCAACTTACAGTAAACCCCAAATGGCACTAAAAATAAAAATTAATATATAACGGTTTGATGCACAACTACAACATATGTAGATTAACTTGCATGAGTTTGGAAAATCAATTTTGTAGTTTGAGAAGAAACAGACCCATACCATAATACAACCGCAATGATGTACGGATGTATAATAAATAATCAATGATTTGAACTTGACCTTGAAGGTCATTTTAGTATACAGCACTCGGGTTGATTCGGACAGACAGACAGACTGGCTGATTCCTTTATACCCTGCATAACAATAAATTGTTGACACGGAGATATATCTCGGCTGTATATAATTTGATAGTAAAATGCAAATGTTGAAATTAAAATAGCAATACTTTAACATGTAAATTATGCAAAAGTACTAAAAATCAACGAACCATAACTGAAGGAACAGGACCAAGTAATTTCTCAGCTATCATATATGCCAATGCTTATACAACTGCAAACAAAATATCGTTGACTTATCATAAGTGGTTTCCCTTTGAATGGACCTACAAACTTAAACATGTAAACTATGAAAAAGTTTCAAAGTCAATAGACCGTGACTAGGGGGTAGGGTAAAATTATCTCCATTGACATGTGATATAACAAGGCTTATACAACTGCATACCAATTATCATTGAGTTACCACAAGTTGTTCCCCTTCAACTGACCTGATCACAAACTTTAACAAATTGTTGACACTGCCTCCAACACAGCAGGCGTCGGAAAGAGCATATCTAAGTCTCGCTGGTTGACTCTGTTAAGGCTAGACAATTAACCAAAATGACTAAAAACTTAGAAACTACAATCCTAATAAATTAAATGACCAGAAACATGCAACAATCTTAACTTTCCGGAAGTCAAAATGATAAAGTACAATAACATAAAAAAACATAAAATGACAAAGTATCATTATACTTGACATGTTTAACACTTTTTTCATGTATTGTATGTTTCTTGTCACTTGTGTATACTATGTTTGCATTTTAACCCGTCAGGGTTTTACTTTTTGCAATAAACATTATATAATGACAAAGAATCATCATAAAATGACAAAGTATTAGCATATACTGACAAAGTATCAGCATATAATGACAAAGTATCATCATAATTATAATGACAAATCCCATCATAGCACAAAATTTAAATACATAAGACAGCTACAGTGTTCCATAAAAGAACATTATTTCACCATTAGTATGTGGAGAGTATGGAATTCTTTAAATAAAACATGTTTCTGATATTTTATTCACTCATTTGATGTAACAAGAGTGCACACGCTGAAATGTCTCGCCTTCTTACATTGATGTTATGTTGATAGTCCTAAATATAAAGTTTTACTACAACTATCAACCTTACAATCATTCAATACACTAAATATAGTTGACCTATTGCTTATAGTTTCTAAGAAACAGACTTAACCAAGAAAACTAAACATTGACCAATGAACCATGAAAATGAGGTCAAGGTCAGATGAACCATGCCAGGCAGACATGTACACCTTACAATCAACCTATGCATTAAATATAGTTGACCTATTGCTTATAGTATCTAAGAAATAAACTTAACCATGAAAACTTAACATTGACCAATGAACCAACAAAATGAGGTCAAGGTCAGATGATACCTGCCAGAAAGACATATACAATCCTTCTATACAAAAAATATAGTTGACCTATTGCTTATAGTTTAAGAAAAACAGACAAAAACACAAAAACTTAACACTGAGCAATGAACCGTGAAAATGAAGTCAAGGTCAAATAAAGCCTGCGAGACTGACATGTGCATCATAAAATATTTCCATACACCAGATATAGTTGACCTATTGCATATAGTATTAGAAAAAAAGACCAAAACTCAAAAACTTAACTTTGACCACTGAACCATGAAAATGAGGTCAAGGTCAGATGACACCTGCCATTTGGACATGTACACCTTACAATCATTCCATACACCAAATATAGTAGATCTATTGCGTACAGTATAAGAAAAACAGACCAAAACACAAAAACTTAACTACAACCACTGAACCATGAACATGAGGTCAAGGTCAAATGACACCTACCAGTTGGACATGTACACCTTACAATCCTTCCATACACCAAATATACTAGACCTATTGCTTATAGTATCTGAGATATGGACGACCACGAAAACTTAACCTTGTTCACTGATCCATGAAATGAGGTCAAGGTCAAATGAAAACTGTCTGACGTACATGAGGACTTTGCAAGGTACGCACATACCAAATATAGTTATCCTATTACTCATAATAAGAGAGAAATTAACATTACAAAAAATATTAACTTTTTTTTCAAGTAGTCACTGAACCATGAAAATGAGGTTAAGGACAATGGACATGTGACAGACGGAAACTTCGTAACATAAGGCATCTATATGCAAAGTATGAAGCATCCAGGTCTTCCACCTTCTAAAATATAAAGCTTTTAAGAAGTTAGTTAACGCCGCCGACGGATCACTATCCCTATGTCGAGCTTTCTGCGACAAAAGTCGCAGGCTCGACAATAACTTTGGTAACATTTAATAAAATGATGGCAGTGAAAATATGCAGGTTATTAAAATAAAAATAAAAAATAGAGGCTCTAAAGAGCCTGTGTCGCTCACCTTGGTCTATGTGAATATTTATCAAAGGACACTCTCCAACATGTAGACAAGAATAGAATTCATGACAAAAATCTCTTTTTTGTTGACCTTGTATTGCTGATCATTTAGTCTGTTTAGTTTCTATCTTCTTTAGTTTTTGCTCAAAACACAAAAGAGGATAAAATTTAAGGGCAATCACTCCTATAAAGAGTGACAATCCACTAACTATATCGGCAAAATTTGACTTGTTAATAGATCTTGCCTTGCTGATAATTTTTGTGATTTAAAGTGTCTATTTATCTATTATATTTTTATCATGTAAGGCAAAATGCAAAAAAATAGCAAAAATTGTCATTAAAGGGCAATAACTCCAATAAAGAGTCGTCGGAAGATTTCCTCCATTTGTCTAAATTGTAGATCTTGTCTTGCTGATCATTTTAGCTTGTTTAAGTTTCTATCTATCTATTATAATTTTTAAGATACAAGGCAAAAACGCAAAAAATTGGAAAAAAATCCTCATCAAAGGGCAATAACTCTAATAAGGAGTCGACTGACGATTTCGCCCATGTTGACTTATTTGTAAAACTTGTTTTGATGATCATTTTTTCTATTTATAGTTTCTCCCTATCTAATATAGCTTTCAAGATAATAGGTAAAAATAAAATAAAATGGTAAAATTTGTCATTTAAGGGCAACAACTCCTATAAGAAGTCGTCTGACAGTTTTGACGTTTTGACAGTTTGGACAATTGGTAGAGCTCAACATTCTGAACATTTATGCCCTTGTCAGATTTTCTATATTTATAACGGTTTTCAAAATAATACACAAAACTTGCATTTTACCCCTATGTTCTATTTTTAGCCATGTCAGCCATCTTGGTTGGCAGGCGGGGTCATCAGACACTTTTTTTAAACTAGATACCCCAATTATGATTGTGGCCAAGTTTGGTTAAATTCATAAAGTAGTTTCAGAGGAGAAGATTTTTGTAAAAGTTAAAAATAGCTTCAGGTAACTATTAAAAATTTCATAACAACAGAACTCATCCTTTGATAAACAGAGCAGAATGTAAACAGTGTAACTTAGACAAATAGTAGTCCTGCTTGTGCAATCTGTTTGCCTTTCAGTACCATGAGGTAAGTCTGTATATAAATTGTGTACAAGTTGTAATTTTGTACAAATAATCATTATTTTGATACCTGCCTTCTTTCACTGGGTGATTCAATAATCAACATCTTGAACAATTCAGTCAAAAATTAATATTGGTAGAAATCTATTATATAGATTTTGCTCATTCATGATTTTAAATCCACAAAATATAATTTCCTTGTAAAAAATCAATGTTATAGACATGTACATATATATGTCTATAAGGTGTGTATCATGACAATTAGTGATAACAAATGGATAGGCTAAAATCAAAGACATTGTGATTGTTTTATTCAATAATTATGTTAAGAGGTTTGAACAAATGTTGATAACTGATCGTAACTTGCACACAACCTATATCAGCTGTAACAATATCATTTACATTTATAGTAAAAAGGAACAGGAAATAAAGCAATGATTGTTTTACATATATTTCATCCAATTTAAACAATAATAATTACATGTACTAGTATACAAACAGAACAAACGCACTAAGCACCACAATAACATTAACAAACAATGTGCTCAAAAATACAATTAAACTGTGCTTTAATCATTATGAAAATAGAGTAAATATACAAATATCATAGAGTATTATAAAACTAAGTGTTCAAGAGACATTGTAAAAGGCAGCTAATCCAGTAGTTCTAAATACCTGCAAGAAATGATGAAGGGAATGCTTCCAAATATGCTTAAGGTATTACATTTAATATTATTTCATAATGTGTTCTTTTAATTATTGATTAATCATTATTCAAAGCTTCTTACAGTTTTATATGTCGTAGTCCTGTTATTCCAATCCATTAATCAAATAGCTAATAAGACCTAACTTTTGCATGATATCCTGTTTTTACCTATTTTAATGTTATGCCTATATCGATGTTAGGGACATTTGTAATGAACTCAGAAAGGCACTAAGAAAAAACCTCTTTGTGTTATATTGAGGTATACATGATTTTTTTTACAGAGACAAGTGCCTGTGTAAATTGCACTTTATTCAATACCTTAACTTATGCTGCATGAGATAATAAAATGCTAAAACTATTTGATTTCTTCGATGCTGACTATAATACAGTGAAATAATACTTGACATTTTATCAATGTAAACATTTTAAATACATCAATCTTACAATATAAAGCTTATTTTCATTTCTTGAACAAGACTGCATTGTGATTTCATAATCTCAAGCTATTTGACATCATAGTTTCTAATAATATTATAAATAGAATATTTTACCACAGATAAAATTGGTATCCAATTCATTTTCAATGCAGAAAAAAAGAACTACAAAAAATTATTTGAAAATAACACACGTCAAGATATTCAACAACAAAATACAATGAACAAATGCTGAAAAAATAATAATTTGTATGATTTTATCAAAATCCAAAAAAAATGTATTAAAAAAATCATAATTTTGTAAATGTTTAAAAAGTCTTAATACTTCTTATTGAACAGAATTTTGTAAAACTTCTTCCAACTTATTGAGCTTGTTATATGGGTTACATGGCGGTACTGTTGTCACCATCTTGGACATCTTAGATTCTTTCTTGAAATCGGAAGTGTTTGGGGAAATAGGTAAAGATCTGAAAAGAAAAAAAGTGTAGAAACGACCAAGTGCAAACAGTATACCGTAATGCTTAATATAGACACTTCACATGCAATAATCTATATTTTGAATCAGTAAAATATTTTATTCTCAGAGACCAAGGTTTACAAATATCACTATAACGTACATGTTTTACTGTTGATTGATAAAATAGGTGTTTCCCTCCACCTATTGCAGTTTATTCAAAGTTCTGACCCAATTGCAGTTTGTTTCATTAAATCAAACTATTCAACTGGTCAGAAATTTTAAACAACTGCTGTTGAAAAACTATAGTCAAGTCATCAAAGTGCAAAGTGATAAAATAAAGCATGCTTACAATCCTTTAGCACTTGAGTTCCACTTAAAATTTCTATGCATATATATATATATATATATATATATATATATATTTGCGAAAGCAAATTTACAGATCAAACATTGTTGGGCTGATGTTTAGACGAGTTGTATATACAGAATGTACACAACCATGTATCACCATCACTGCTGGTGATCCGATGGATAAATCTGTTGTAGAGTTGTCACTGGTTCAGACGTACTTATAAATATAATTATTTCTGTGACTGTATCTTGCATTAATTTGTAGGATCCTTTACAATAGATATATCAGCTGATATGTAACAATTCCATCTTCATGCCTTATATATCATGTACTGTATTACGACGCTAGATTAAAACTGACGAGGAAAGGTAACACCCGGCCACCGAAAGCTTTATTATTGTGAAGCCTAGGTGGTCGAGTGGTCTAGCGCGTCGGATACAGCGCAGGCGATTTGGTGTCACGATATCCCGGCGAGGGAAGAACAAAAAATTTGCGAAAGCAAATTTACAGATCTAACATTGTTGGGCTGATGTTTAGACGAGTTGTATATATATATATATTCAAGAGTCTATCCTAAATTGAGGTAAATTATATGGCCTTCCAAATACCGTTTCGATCCCTAACATCACTGAAGAGACATTTATTGTCGAAATCCGGATATGGTGTACAAATTTTTGCACCTCATGTTTGTGGTATACCATCTTTCCCACAAGTTTATTGTTTTCTGTTTGGTATTAAATTAATATTAAGATCCATTTTTTTAGATCTGGTGATCAATTTATTTGGCAATCGCCAATGGCAGTCAGCAGGGTTTAAGAACATCAGTTGTTCGACCTGTTAGTCAAATGCGTTTTGTTAAAATAGACTTTTTCACTTTTTTTTATCTTTTGGAAATTGTTGTTTGTGCTGTATTTAGACCCCTCTACCAAGAAATTTGTTTTACATGGACACGTATAAAAATTGCGGTTTTTATCCAACGCAATCATAGGTTTGAACGTTGTTTTCAATTTAGACTTGTTGTATATATATATATATATATATTGGACTGTCTTATTTTCTTTACATGTCACTGAGTATTTTAGATTTTGATTTAATAACAGCTTTGTAGCATGTATTTTGAAACATTTTAGAAAGGATAATTGAAAAACATAAATTGGACATTTTAAAAAACTTAAATACTAGCATGACGTTTTAAATGACTTATTATAATAAAAATACTTAAAAGAAATTTAAGTAATCCTTTCATAGTAACCATGAAGTGGTTCAATTTCTTTTATGATTGTAAGTATACTTAATTTTATCACTTTGCACTTGGATGATTTGACTATGGTTCTTCTACAAAAATAAACACTCATTACCAAGTCACAGTAAAATGGAAACAATAAAGAGAGCATTACTGAAATAGCTTTTAATGTATTCTCTATAAACAAGTTATACACGTGTTATACTGTCAATTAGCAACACAAAAACATCTATATCGCTTCCGAAAACCTAAAAAATTCAAAAGCATAATTTACCAACATTTGGGAAAACACAATCACAATATCAAATTTATAAAATTCCAACCACTCGAAACGATCCAGAAACAACAAAGGCAAATTTTTAAATAATTTGAAGGTTCCGTAAAATTTTCGAACTGTCTTGGATTAAACGACTGCAGACAGCATATATCCCCTTGGTCTAAATGACAATATAATTGGACAAGCTAGGGAACATATCTAAAACGGAAAAATCATAAGCGAGGATGACAAATGCAACTATGCATGGTACCTATAGGACACAGAGGCATGATGATTAATTTATTGTGGAAGGAAGAGAAGCGACACACAAAATGAGGTCTTCTCATTTAAATGTATAGAAGATGGTATATTATATCGAAATAGTTCCGTTTGTTTTAACATACAATCCCGCCTTTACTAACCTTTCACGTTTGATCCGTGCCAATTGGCAGATTATTGCCAAACACCCAAAATTATCCAAGATCTTTCCCAAACCTCCTGTCTTAGCTTTTCGGAGACCAGCAAGTCTGAAAGACTTATTTGTGAGAGCTGATGTCTCCTCTTCAGTTTCGATGTGGCATGCAGTATGTTGGCGAGACAGAACAGCCATTCAACAAACGCATGAATGGTCATCGAAGTGACTATACTTGCAAGCCCGACCTCCCCGTAAGTCGTCATTTGAGATCACCTGGGCACGCCCAAGCTGATCTCAAAAACCTTACCATCACTATCATAGACCACAACGAGAGTTGGTCAAGGGCCGACAGACTTGCTCGGGAAAGTTTTTGGATACGAAAGTTAACGACAGTTTCCCCAGAGGGCATTAATGAAAAAACATAGAATGAGTCCCTACCATCACTTGTTTCCCGTAACTCAGGCTTCAGTACAGGACTCTTAACAGTTTTAGGAAATTTATTTCTCCTCCCAAACATCAATATTGAAAACAATTTACTAGCGTATTGATTCGTGATAATTTGTATAACGATCAAGATTATAATTTCAGTTGGACTACCACATGTCAAGATAAGAATCATTTTACATCTTACTGATGAAGGATATTATTTATCCAAAATATTTAACATTTGTTCATGATTTTATTTTTTTTGGTGATGTTGTACCCTTTTAGACTTGCTTATTATATATATATATATATATATATATATATATATATACAAGTCTAAATTGAAAACAACGTTCTATCCTATGATTGCGTTGGATAAAAACCGCAATTTTTATACGTGTGCATGCAAAACAAATTTCTTGGTAGAGGGGTCTAAATACAGCACAAACAACATTTTCCAAAAGACCAAATGAGTGAAAAAGTATATTTTAACAAAACGCATTTGACTAGCAGGTCGTATTATATATATATATATATATATATATAAGTCTAGAGATTTGCACAACGATACTAATATAAGATGGTATTATACGAAGATGTTGTTAATAAATCGTGTTGACAAATATTTCGGCTTAACAAATAGCCTTCTTCGGTGTCAATTATTTTAATACCTGTATTTTGGCATTGCACAAGGTCACGTTTTTCTCTGACTATGAATGACGTCTTTACACTAAATCCATTGGATGTTGGATGTGTGCTGATTGATATTTTAGTCTTAGATACATGATTTTTTTATCAGTTGTTATTGGCTTTGAACTAGCTGTCAGTAACTGCGAGTACTCTCAGATATGTACTTAGTGTCTTTTTTTGTTGTAGGGATGCATAAATACCTTGCCACTTCCAGTCTGTGTTTTTTGTTACTTGTTTTTTCTGAATTGTATCGATCTGATGAGTTAAGCCCTTGTTAACTGATTTTTATAGTTTATTAATTGTTCCTATGTTGTACTGTTACACCACTGTCCCAGGTTAGGGGAGGGTTGGGCACCCGCTTACATATTTAACCCTGCCACATTCTGTATGTGCCTGTCCCAAGTCAGATGCCTATAATTCAGTGGTTGTCGGTTGTTGCTGAATAGCATATTTGTATTTCGTTCATTGTTTTTTACATAAATCAGGCCGTACGTTTTCTCGTTTGAATTGTTTTACATTTGTCATTTCGCAGCCTTTTATAGATGACTATACGGTATGGGTTTTGTTTATTGTTGAAGGCCGAACAGTGACCTATAATTGTTAACTTAAATGTCATTTGGTCTCTGGTGGAGAGTTGTCTCATTGGCAATTTTACCACACATGTTCTTATTTTTATATGTAGTCTAGCTTTGTTAGAGAAATTAATGTCAAAGACAATTAAAGAGAAAACATTTGCAATCACAGCAAAAGGTAATCAATAAATAGGTGGTAAACTTATTAAGGACAATTATAACTAAAATCTTAGCAGATTAAAATTACTTCATCCTTTTCCTATCAGTTACTGTATAGCCGTAGTTGAGACCAAAGTAATTCCCACTTATCTATGTAGCAGTTGTACCTGACAAAAGAGCTATTGTACCTATTAATGGTCCATGCTACAGCTCTGACTTATTTTTCGATAAGATGAATGATGTTTAACATATACGATTAACAAATATAAAAACAGGCTTGATCAAAACATGTATTAAACATTTATTCTAGCTCAACAGAAAGACATATCATCTCAACCACACACATGACCAGGGATAGAACACATGACATACTGTTCTCAAGACCAGCACAATTCCTAAAGATCATATTTTTTTTTTAAAGATTTAGAAAATCAGAATTTTGATTGATCTGAATTTGATAATGTAAATGCAGCATATGACAATTTTAGTAAACGTTTCATTGAGCATGTTGAGGTAGCTGACAAGCACGCACCTTTGAAGGAAAGAAAAATATTTTCCAAATTAGGTACCATATATGAATGCAGAAGTGCCATTTATAGAAAAAAAATGATATATAATAAATTTCAAAAATTCAGTGGAAGTAGAACTGGCAAGCATATAGACGACAACGCAACTATGTTACAAAACTTAAAAATAAATCTATTAACCAATATTTTATAGAGAGGTGTGCTGGGGGCCCGAAATCTAAGGACTTCTGGCCAACAGTGAAACCTTTTCTTACAAATAAAGGTAATGTACACCAAAAGGAAACTGTCCTCTCAGAAAATAATGTTTTAATTACAAAACAAGAGGAGGTGTGTGAAATATTTAATAACTATTTTGTAAATGTTGCCAAGAATATTGGAAAACAATCAAATATAATAAAAAATGTCCTTAATTTATTCCAGATCTAGTTGTTATAAAAAACACATAATTTCAGGTATGTGAACACTGCTGAGGTACCTAGACCAAAAACCTCAAGTTATGGTAAAAGACCTTTTAGATTTGAGGCAGCACAAGTATGGAATTTCCTTCCCAATGAGGCCAGAACTATGACCTCTTTTGACCAATTTAGGAATTATATAAATTCCTGGTGTGGGGGTCAAAAATGCAATTGCAGTTCGTGCCGTTTCCGTCCAGTGCTGCCTCATAGCTGACATTTCTTTCTTTTTATTTTCTGGCCTTTTGCTCTTCTTTTTTATGCTTTATTATATATAGGTGATATTATATGCCAGTGCTTAATCTAATTATTTATTCATGTTTTTAGTTTGTTGGTATTTTATGATATTTCAGTGATTGCTGGATCCCCCATTCAATGCACATAGAGGTGTTTGCCGCATGAGCATTGACCCTGGAGGTTCAGAAATCAAAATTAATTTGCTTTCATTATATTTGCATGCTTTTTTATATTTACTTATTAGTATTTGCATGAAGCTGCATGATTTTTTTATATGATAGTCGGTTAATGAGCTCACCAGAGCTCATGTTTTCTCTGTTATTATGTACATATATGCCGACTTTAAATAAAGTTACTTACTTACTTACTTACTTATAATAGTACTGTTAAGGATAACGAGAACTGTAGACCAATGGATTTTCATTGACCCAAGGACTAGATGATGAGATAGACTTGTCACATTTTTCATGTCGAGGCCTTATTATTGCTGACTATACAATATGTTTTTTTTTCATTTTTGAAGGCCTTACAGTGACCTACAGTTGCTTATATTTCTTTGTCATTTGAACTCTGCATGTTGGATAGTTTTCTTATTGGCAATCATACCACATCTCCTTATATTTATATTGAAATTTTGTATGTTGGTTACAGTGCTTAGTGATTTAGTCGTTCTAACTTAAACAGTGCAAAATCCAGAGGGGTCACATACCTATGGACTGTAGCAGTTGTAGCAGATTGAGCAGGTTTTTCTCTCATTGAATGAGCTGGCGAGTACACACTCTGCCATAATGTACTACCCTGGTAACCAGGAATGTTTGGACGACTAAAATTTTAAGAAAGAAACATTTAATTGTAAGTTAATCTGAGCACATATTAAAAAAGGTAAATGAATTATAGAAAAGTGTTTGATGTATATAAGGAAGTACTATATACATGTAGTAAAATGACTTTGATCATTGCTTATTGGAGATTATAGTTGTATTGTTAGGCCCTTTCATCTTAAAAACAAAATATGTATATTTCTACTTATTATTCATAACGTTAATATTTGAACGCAATAAACAAAACTTTAGTCCGGGAGAACATGATTTATTTATAAGTTGTAATTGTCTTTGAACTAGCTCTCAGTAACTGTGAGTACTCTTATTTCAGTGCTTTATGTCTATTGTTTTATGTTAGTTGTTTTTGTTCCTCGTACCAATCTTTTGAGTTAATCAAGCCAATTGCAACTGATTTTTACAGTTTGTTTTTATGTTGAGCTGTTACACCACTGTCCCAGGTTAGGGAGAGGGCTGATCATTCACAAAGTCAGGAGTCTGTTGTTCAGTGGTTGTCGTTGGTTCAAGTCTGTCATTTGTTGTTTTTCGTTAAAAAAAAAAATGCTATAAATTAGGCCATTAGTTTTCTCGTTTGAATAGATACACATTTTTCATGTTAGGGCCTTTTATAGCCGACTATGGGTGTTTCTCGTTGTTAAAGGCCGTATGGTTACCTATAATTGCTTATATTTACTTTATTTGAACTCTGGTGGATAGTTATCTCATTGGCAATCATACCACATCTCCTTATTTTTATATAAACTTACTGGGCAGTCTCGCTGTATCTAGGAATGTTAACACGTTTGATAGTAAGTGGTTGGAATGGTTCCTGAGCATGATCTATTTCATCTAAATTTGTAGCACCTATACATCCGCTGAAATTTTACAACATAAATCATTTAAAGGTTTTTATTTACCAATGTAACTGCTGTCTATATCAGGTTTTGTAACATAATTTCAAAAATCCATAACTTGTGAATAAAAATTGTTTTAATGATACTAATTTAAACAGAACTAGTGAAAATTGAAACCTGTCTTTTCATATTTAGGGAGCTACCATTGGATTTTGATGGGGGGGCTAGGATGAAATTTGAAAAAAAGGCAGGACAGGAGTTTTGAGTAAAAAAAAAGGCAGGATGAGCAACTTGGCAAAAAAAAAAGGCAGGATGACAATTTATGTAAAAAAAGTCAGGATAAACTAATAAAAAAAAATGCAGGACCGAATAGAGTGAAAAATAAAAAGTCAGGACAGAGATTACAACTAAAAAATTCAAGTGTTAATATGGATTGGTTGTGCTGCACCATCCATAACTAAAATACACATGAAAACAAATTAATTGAGATTGTGTCCATGGGACACAGATGATGCACCCGCTTGCATATAACGTTATAAAGGGACATAACACAAGAACGGTACAAATGATGCCACCCAAATTCGATCTTGATCTGAGTTTTGTGATAATAAGCATGTTCTTGAGTTATGTCCCTTTATAACGTTTTATGCAAGCAGGTTTATCATCTGTGTCCCATGGACACAATCTCAATTAATTTGTTTTCATGTGTATAAGTTTCATAAAATTTGGTTGAGGCAAACTTAAGTTAGAGAACGGAAACGAAAAATCCAGCAATGTTTCCATTTGTAAAGCGGCATAACTCTAGAACAGTAAAAGTGACGCCACCCAAATTCGAACTTAATCTGTGTTTTGTGGTAATAAGCATTGTGTATAAGTTATATAACATTTGGTGGAGCCAAACTAAAGTTAGAGAACGAAAACCAATTTTGGGACGTACGTACGTACGTACGGACGGACAAGGGTAACACTTAATGCCCCCTCCGTTGAGGGCGGGGGCATAAAAAAACAATGGAATTCAAACGACTATATACAATGAAAGAAGACTAAAGCTTATGTACACAAACAGCATTCCCTAGCTTCCATTATGAAGGCTCTGATAGCAAGAACCGCAGGTAGCGTAAGTGTTTAGAAAAAAAAAACATGCAGGCAATCAAAAATTATCCTTAACAATAATAATGAAAGCAAAAACATAAGGATGAGAAAGTTGCTTCAATGACCTACCTGTAGTTTGGTATTTGTTGTGTGCGAGGATGTTCACTACAACTTGAAAAAAGAAACACAATTAATCATTTTAGTAAAACATATTGCTTTTCTCGGGTGGATATCAATATAAGGGAAATTCTTCGATATAAGAAATATAATAAATCAAAGTGCTGGATAGCACCCGTGGAAAGTTTGCAACGGTAGATGTGTATTATTTCAAATAGGTTGTAGATGTGTATTATTTCAAATAGGTTGTAGATGTGTATTATTTCATATAGGTTGTAGATGTGTATTATTTCAAATATGTATTTAATCACATGTTTTTTCCGAAACCATTGTCTCATCAGCAATTATCAAAAATCACTTTTTTTCATATGTTTGTCATGTAAAATTTTGATATTTTCTATTGCAACCTTAAACTGTAGATTTAAAATAATCAAATATACAGAAAGCTCTGTTAATTTCGTTCTGTGCCCATCCCATGTAAAGGGCCTATGATTTTAGTATTTTTTATTGATTTAGGTCCGTCATATTTGTTTTAAGTAAATTGTATTATTACTAATTAAGCAGTTAGTTTTCTTGTTTGAATTGTTCCACATTTTTAATATCAGGGCCTTTTATAGCTTACTATATGGTATGAGTTTTTCTCATTGTTGACGACCGTATGGTGACCTATAATTGTTTATACATGTATATCTTCCTCCTTTGAACTCTTTTGAATAGCTGGTTCATTCGCAAAAATTACCACATCTCTTAATTTAAATCAGACAGCAAACTTAAATCAATACAACTGTAATGAAAGTGAATTTATATGAAAGGCTTTAATCAACAATGGCAATATGTAGACAGAAATAAAAATTTAATATACACTAGATTCGTAGAGGTACTTTATTTTATAACCATGTAATACATTTTAGTTGCTGCTGTAACTGAATTCAGCATTGAGGCAATGACATTTTGAGATTTTTGGTTTTCAGCCATTCATTTGATATTATCTTTGCCTCTGTGTTGAATTGACACATTGTTAACAAGAAATAATTGTCAACAGGATGCTGTTACGAAGTCTCCAAAACAAAGCTCCCATAATTCGTCATTCCCATGGTCGCCTGACATTGGGCAAAGTCCAGTACAAATTGGTTTGGTCTAGTAAAGTGATATGCATAAGTGACGCCTAGGGATTGACCCTGTATGTCATTTAAATCTTCTTGAAATGACGAACAGGAATATATATGGTTTAGGGGTGGGGATCTCGACCGTTTACAAGTTCTCAAAAAGGGGGGGGGGGGTCCCCAGGGGACTCGCCCTTTAATTCATTTGATTTGTTTTTTTTGTCCCATACAAGAGTATATATGGTTTAGGGGTGGGGATCTCGACCGTTTACAAGTTCTCAAAAAGGGGGGGGGGGTCCCCAGGGGACTCGCCCTTTAATTGATTTGATTTGTTTTTTTTGTCCCATACAAGAGTATATATGGTTTAGGGGTGGGGATCTCGACCGTTTACAAGTTCTCAAAAAGGGGGGGGGGGGTCCCTAGGGGACTCGCCCTTTAATTCATTTGATTTGGTTTTTTTGTCCCATACAAGAGTATATATGGTTTAGGGGTGGGGATCTCGACCGTTTACAAGTTCTCAAACAGAAGGGGGTGGGTGTGACCCCGGGGACTCCTCCAATATTTCATTTGATTTGTTTTTATTGTCCCATACAAGAATATATATTTAGGGGTTTAGGGGTGGGGATCTCGACCGTTTACAAGATAAAAGCACATTCTCAAATTGAAGGCGGGTGGGGGTGACCCCCAGGGACTCACCCTATATTTTATTTGATTTGTTTTATTGTCCTGTGATCATTACTGGCGACCGTGTGTGTCTATCACTTACTGTTTTTAAGTTAAAGTCATTTGAAAATTTTAAAAATTAAATCCCATAGGGTTCTATAGTAATTATAGTCCGATTTTGTGAGGCCGATTATGTTATAGGCCGAGTTTGTTATGGGCCGAGATATGAGGATACTTTCGATACACTCGGGCTTTTACGTCTTTAATAAATATTTGTAAATATCGTAAATGGCGCCGGAAAATGTTCAGTCATGAAATATTTTAAACACGGTATTTATTTTCTCTTCAATCGGAGGACGACACCGGGATTATTGTATTCCCGTCGGGAGGTTCGCATATATGGATTAAACGCAAGTCTGGGGAATCCCGTAGAAAAACATACAGGTTACATAAACATACAAAATAGCTGACAGTTAAAAGTATGCATAGTTTATAGAGGTCACACCTAATACCATTTACAAACGTAAAAATTGAAGAAAAGATAACGATATTTTTAACAATAACAATTCTTTAATTTCATGAATAAATGTAAAAAAAAACAACACACACCTCGAAATAAATATTAGGCCCTCTTAATTTTCAATGAATTAAACGTAGAAACTGCTGCCTCGTGTTGATGTGTATTGATTTTATCTTCCGCGCAGGGCAGATCCGCGAAGTAGTGTTTGTGATACCCATTTTCAAAATGAAGTTGGATTCATTTGAATTGTCGGTGAACATTCGGTCCATTTTTATTCAAGCTGTAAGCTAATCAAAATAGAAGTAACTCAAAATTTCAAAAGCATCTTCCTATAAATTAGTATTCAAACACTAGCCCTACATTATCTAGGAGTCGAACACACATCCTATAGTAAGATAGTCTGTCCAACTTCCGGTTTGAGGCCGATGCCATAGGAAAGTTTATTGCTATAGCAAGCTATAGCAAACTTTCCAAAAATAAATAATGTTTGTAGTGATCTTTTTGTGCTAAGCATTTTCCTTACTGACTTGCATAGTTACAGTATAAGCAGCTGAGACAACAACTCACATACATAGCCAGTGTGGTTGATGTCAATATTTGACAAGTTCATCGGCCAAAATTCAACTTACAATTGTTTTGCTAAAATTATTTTGACCATGTACATGATTGGGTTCTCATTAAATCAAATATAAAATACTTACAAGACAATAGGCTGAGTCTTGTAATATCCGTTTCTTCTCTGGAACCAGTCCCAAGATCGACCAGTCCCCTATAACACAAAAAAATCTATCTTAATTCTATGTTAAGGTAGATTAAGGATTTGTACTATACAAATCCTTGGGTAGATCGGGTGTCTTCCTCCATCTTGGAGTGTAAAATAGCAGAACCAATCGGTCTAGATCTTTAATGAAATGTGGAAATTTCGAGACTTATCATATTAATACAGAAAATTATACGTTTTATCATATTAATTCAGAAAAAGGTTCTATTATAAAGGAATGTGTTAGGAATTTACCTATTTTATTACGAGTTCCGTTACCCAATTTTTCTTTTCCTTTTCTGAAATCATATTATAAGAGCAAATCTTCTCATATTTTTATCTAAAATTCTATCGTTTAGTTTTCTTTTTATTTCACAAAGTTGGGTTTTCTATACAAAATTGACAATTTTGCGCAACCTGTAGCGTGAAAAAAATGCCTGGCGACCTATACTTTTTATCTTATTTTTGAACAAAAAATCTTGAAATAGACTACTTTTTTGCAAATTATTAAAATATTCTATCGCTGTTAATTTAGACCCCCATTTACCTTACATAATACTACATACAAAAATTGTTTAATAATTTACTCTCTAACAGTCCAATAAACGTTGCCAGCAAATATCAATAATTAAATCTTCTGGGTAAATGTCCTCACATAAGTAATATTATTTTTACTTTATCAGTTGTAAAAAGTCGAACTTTAAGTATAACCAATTAGTCTATCTACAAACAGATTCTTGTTCCTGTACCACTGAGGAGTATGATAGTCGTCATTGAGTAAAGAACATATTCAGTTGTTCTACCATATGTTTCAATAAATACATGTATACTAAATACAAAATACTACCATTATGTCAAACTATGCAAACTTTATTCCAAATAAGATTCAAATCAAATTTGCTAAATTTTTATTGGTTTTGAATAAAGGTGCTGTTAATAATGCCGTGCTTTCTGAATTAGGTTTATTCCCACTTTCATTGTAAACCCTTAAAAATTCAATTAATTTCTAGCTTCATATTATTAATATGAATAGTGACAGTATGGTAAAGAAAGCATACAGTGAAAACTTAAACCTGTCTGATGGTTTTTGTAGTAAAATAAATGGTTTTCAGCATGTTTGAGAAAATAAAAATACCATGTCGAAGACAAAATTACTCTTTTCATTTCAAAAGAATTCATTTAATCCTGGAAACAAGCTCTTTTTTGTGACTCTAATAAAGATAGTCATCGTATCGTAAAGTTAAAAATAATTTCGAATTAGAAAAATATCTCCTACTGGACATCAAAAGTGTTATTTCTAAAATAATAAGAATTAGAATTAGTAATAACAAATTACTAATAGAAGTTGGTAGATATACTAGAACGCCTTTACAACAGAGAATTTGTCCACTCTGCAAGGATGGAATTGAAGATGAATTCCATTTCCTCATCAAATGTAATTATACTCTATATAAATAAAAATCTCCATAATTCTATTTTTACTGATGTAAGTAGGGAACCTTCATACAGTAGTGAATAAAATACTTGTGTGACACCCTACCTGCCATTCTTGAGCTGCGGGGTCGTATCGTTTCAAAGTCCATCTTTGGGAGATCATGTCTGGTCTATCTTCTAACGTAGAAACAGGATCCCATTGTTTTGGGGGAAGCATGTTATCCCAAGGAACTTCCTCGTATGATCTATAAAGGAGTAATCAATTACAAAGTCGAAAACTGCAATGAGTTTTATATTTTAACATATGCTATTGTGCAAACTAGTAAGTTCTATCCTCATTACTCAAGTATATGTAAGAGAATGATAATCCCTTTCTTAATGATTAAGTACGAGCGTTAGCGAGTACTTATCATGAATTAAGGGATTATCATTCTCTTACAAACTTAGAATATTGTAAAGTGCTCAAGGCTCAAATGACCTCTTGATTGGTTGTATTCAAGAATTAGTTACATTGTCAGTGTAATGTTTATAATTGTTGCATGACTTCATTTTTCAGCATTTCATTTCATGATGGGTTAGTTTTAATGATGTAAGGACTTTCTTATGATTTGGGAAATATTAAAAAAATGCGTTATAGACATTAGGTGACACAACAGAACAAAGAAAAGGTAGGAATTGTATATGTTTCCTGATTGTGAGTATGAATGTAAATGATGTAATATCTTAGGGCGGAATTATCCTTTTTTTATTTACAGTTTATATCAATAAATACGTTTGAGTTACAACTAATTTTATTTCACAGCCGGCGTTTTAAATCAAATATTATTTCATTATGTCAGGGAAATGTTCTAAAAAATGCCTTTAAAAGTTTTAAATATATTCAAAACTTAAATCATAATTTTTGTTTATTTTATCGGAATATTGGAAATAACTATTCTTCCAAACCGCTGGTCCAGTTATCAGTTTTGGAAGCTTAAGATTTATGTAATTTTTTATTTCAAAACTTTTTGTTCTTTTTTTGCATTGCTTTGATATTGTTTGTTTTTTTAGTAATTTGAAGTTATTAATATTTTCATAATAACATTAAAGGTACAAATGTTACTGCACCAGTAAACTTCAACTTATTTTGATTTTTTTGTTTGTTTCACAATTCAAATTTAGTCAGTTTCAATCACTGTGATTAATCCTTTCAATCTGATAAATGTGCTTCAGGGCAGTTATAACTCATTTATAGAAACTCTTTGTTTTGAACTGTAAATAGACCCAAATAATAGGATAATTATAGGTTAGATAAAACATGACCAAGTATTGTCTGACCAATTTAGAACATATCCACACCTTCGAGTGATATAACAAAATTAGCCTCTCCCATTGTAATACTTTAACCTGAATATGAGCTCACTTTAGACGTTAACATGGTTAGTAAAATGGATGTATATCATATTAAATGGTCATTCCAACAGATGGAATGAAATAGCAATGGGATAGTTTTGTGATTCAAAAATGAAGATTTCTTCTGCTTCAGGTATAGTTTAATACTTACATATCTAAAATTCCTTCATTTCAAAAAGGACGTAATTTTATATAAATCAGCTTTTCTAAAATTGTATAATTTATGAATAATAACAAAACTTCATCAATGATTTTCAAAATTACAATCGTTTCAACGTCAGATGCTTATTTTTTTTTATTTATGAATGTATTGTTTTTTTTATCAACAGATTAATCTACAATGGAAAGTCATTCATGTATAGCATTCTATAGTGCATGGAAAGCCATGTACTATGAAAATTCGAAGGGAAATAAATTATTTTCCATTGGACGAGACGGGTGAGTATGTTCTAATCCCTTAGTAAGAACATGATTTACATTCATTCTTCACAATTAAGAGACATCAAATCCTACAACTTCATTGGTCGAGAGCACTTTGCTATATTCTAGTTAGTAATTGTCGTATGTCATATTTTAATGTTTTTTTTTTATATTTGGAGTATTGGGTGACGATGGCATGACTCAATTAGTAGTTGTCGTATGTCATATTTTAATGTTTTTTTTTATATTTGGAGTATTGGGTGACGATGGCATGTCTTTGGTGTCTAATTTAAAAACAAGTTTTTTTAAGACTCGGGATGATTTAGAGATTGACACTTTGAATAGACATCTGACTATTGATGATGTCTAATGGTGACGACTGCGTGTAACTCTCTAGATATCTTTTGGTAATTTTTGTCGTTGGGTTGATGTCTTATTGATTTATACCTCACTGTGACATTTCTTAATGCATATTTTGCGAATTAACTAAACAACATCTATAAGTTCGGTCAACCTCTTGAGAATATGGATACGAATTATACGTCACGACTGGATAATATTAATTTAAATTCAATTGAGTATTTGAAACAAACATATTAATATATCATATCGACCTAATTTCTTTTAATTCTAATTCGCTTTTAAAAACTATATCATTTAATTTGGGAAATAATTTGAATTTTTCAAGATTAGAATATGTATACGTAAACTTAACTCATACATTAACATCTAATACAAAACGCATGATTTGTGATACGACATGTACAGACGGTCACAAATCATCATTACTTGGTTAAGAGGTTACTAGTTATTATATGATTTCTGGTATAAGGAAGACAGTATAATTTTGCAAAAAGGTAGAGTCGCCTATACATGCTATACGCCGATAATAAACTTACTTTTGTGTCGAACCACTGTACATATACTTTAGTGCTAAATGATCACGCCCCTCTTTACTTTGTTCTGATGGAGGTTTTGCAACAAATGCCGACTGAAAATATCAAAATGTAATGCAGACAAAGTTATGGATGTTAAACACGATTTATTCGCACTTAATGAATAAATATGCGCAATTCCATTGTTGTACCTGTAAGCTTGCGATCAGACATCAGAATTAGGTCTGATATACACTTCTAACAGGACATTCTTCATATCTTTCTATACAAGATGTCAATTATTATTTAATGCCAGAAGTATTTCATTATCATAAATATATAGCTTTAATGCATAATTCTATGTGCCAAATGTGTTGCACAAAAAGGGTACAGGACGTTTGCGCTTTTTTACCTGTAACACGATAAGACATTTGCATTCCATACGCGCTTTAAATTTTGATACGCCTGTATTTGTGCATTTTACCTATAGGCGTCTACCTGCAATTTTAATGAGTTGTAATCATAACATAAATAAATTCAACTTATATTTGTCGTTAGTATGATCACATTGACACAGTCTAAAGTTATAGAGACTAGTAAAGGAAAATGTGCATGTCACGATGGACTTTTATAATTGAACAACAGTCGGTTAATTACATTAAAATTCGTTAATTTTATTAACAGGCGCCTTATTCATCGGTATGATATTATATACAAAAATATCTTTCTTTGTACCATTAACATTTATAAGAAATAAAATCTTGAAATCTTGAGTCAAGAATTGAGAAAGAGAAACTAGATATTTATTTGAAATGTGGGCGAAATACGAGTCAGAACAGATTACAAGAGCTAATTTTATTCATTCTTTGGGCTTCAGATATCAGGCGAAAACTGATCTGTGATGACTATACGTGTCTTTTATGTCTTTAAAATGTTTACTTTTAACTATATCAATGTGCTATGATATGACTTTTAAACACGAATGTCCAATGGACATTCATGGGAAGCAAATATTGTAAAAGCGCAAATGTCCTATAAATTGGAGCGCAAATGTCCATAAAAAAGCGCAAATGTCCTATGAAAAAGCGCAAGTGTCCCGCGCCGAAAAAATGTGAATCGTGATGAACCCGTGCAAATTATGTTCACATGCATAAGGTGAGACAGTAAACATGGTAAAACAAAAAAAAAAATTATCTGGATGCTGATCAATCAGTATTAACTACTTCATTTGTCACCAATATGATATTTTCTCAATGTCTCAATATGAACGGTTTTTGTATATACATTTTAATTAGATAAAACACGTTATTACACATTTTTGTTCATCTTTAAGAGATCTGTGATATCTAGTTAATGTTTAAAATTATACAACTATATATGCATGATCAGCAACCGATAAAGGGGTGTTGTAAAACGTTATATATAGATTCTACCACTGCATCAAGTGTGATACGATATTTATCCACTCGAGACAGTTAAATTTTCAAATTTAAAACGCGAGGCTCGCCGAGCGTTTTAAATATTTAAAATTTAACTGTCGAGAGTGGATAAATATCGTATTACACGAGATTTGGTGGTGGAATCTGTTTCTCTAATGATTTTCAAACAATACGCAGGCAAATTTATTCCGTCTTTTCGAATGATCTGCAAAAAGATGTGTTCTTTCTATGTGACGTCATCAGGCATGGTCGCCTTTTTTCATGCCGTCACAATAGGAAATTCAGAGGAAAGCAAGAAAACTCGACGTCATAATCGGATTTTAACCAATGAATAACTGAGATCAAATGAACCACACGTTGATTAATACTCATTCTCTGTAACCACTTAAACTTTTTCAGCACACATAGTCACCGATCTTTCTGAAAATTGGCTGATATGTAGATCCTATTAGCCTAGTCAGAAAAATAATGCCAACCGATATATATATTGCAATTGGTTGGTTACCATGGTAACAGCGGAGAAAGTTGGGATTTTTGAGAAAAATACAATATTTGGTGTAGTGCTGTGAAATTATGCGGCTACATCTATTAAAAAGAAACACAAAAACTATTAATTTCATTCTTGTTTTTAACAAAAATCAAAAAAAGTTATGGGGAATCTACCTAGAAACATGTGAAATTAATTTTAAAAAATGATCATCGTGCAATATTCCTCACAATACGAATTATCTCCCTTTGGTGGGTTACACTAATGACTGGACCAAAACGAAAATGCTAATAACTTTTTTTATTTCTCAAAGGATTCATGTCAAATTTGAATTGTAATAAATTTAGACCATTTAATACATAAATATAAGAAAAAAAATATTGAAAACTTTTTTAAATCTTCATAAAACTTGACCTGACCAATGCTGACAATGATTGGACCAAATGAAAATGCTAATAACTGTTTTTATTTCTTAAAAGATTTATGTTAAATTTAAAATAATAATAAAATTTTATCATTTTATTTATAAATATGGAAAAAATTATTAAAAAATTCCGAAAAAGTGACCTTTCTAACGTTGACAATGACCTGACCAACAACAGCAATTACCTAACCGATGAAACTTTCTGTGTTATTTTATAAAAAAAAACAACAGGAAAAATATATGTTTTTGGGTAAAAAACTTGACCTGACCAACGTTGACTGTGTCCTGATTGTTGTACTACCTAATACTTATTTATATCTTATAGGATTTGCTTAAAATTTATTAAAAAAACAACATTAAGATTGAATGGTAAAGTCTTTATCAAATAATAAAAAAAACCTGGGGAAAACAGTTTAGGGTACTGTGACGAGCACGGGGTTATTTAAACTTTTTATAGTATTGGGTAGTGTATTGTATTTTACTGTGTTGTAAATTATGTCGTACATTACCGGTTATAATTTGACACATTTGATCACAAATATAAAGTAACACACAAAAGGTGTGAAGTAGGCCATAAATACATGTAAGTTGATAAATCCCATATAGTTTGTTTTTTAATATTTTCTTAACAGTAAATAATTATTTCCACGTCCTACTTAAGGCATGCCTGAGCCTTGTGCAGGATATCTTGGAAGTTTTAAATATTTTCATAACAAACAAATAAACATTTTGGGGACTACTTGAGGTATGCCCGAGCCCCTGTATGCACGATATCTTGGCAGTTTAAAATATTTTCATAAAATATAAGTGAAAATATATATTCGCGGACTTAACTTGAGGTATGCCAGAGCCTTGTCTTAGTTTAAATATTCCCGAAAGTCAATACATTTATCGTTTGCTAATATGTTTGAAAATCATTTTATATTTTCTTATTTGATAAAATTAATGGTTCAATCTAAGTGTTTCTATAAATTTGATGCAAAGCCTATTACATATAAATAGGTATAAAGTCATTTTTCCTGGTCATGATAACGGTCAGAATGTAGGACAGAAAGTCACAGATAAAAAGTCACGGACAAAAAGTCACATGTATAATATGTTATAAACATTGAGTCCTGTTCAAAGTAAAATCTAAACTTTTTTTGTTAAAAGATAATATTAATGTTTCAATCTAAGTGTTTCTATAAATTTGATGCAAAGCCTTTTACATATAAAAAATAGGTATATAGTCATTTTTCTTGGTCATGATAACTGTCAGAATGTAGGACAGAAAGTCACAGACAAAAAGTCACGGACAAAAAGTCACATGTACAATATTTTATAAACATTGAGTCCTGTTTCATAGTAAAATCTAATTTTTTTGTTAAAAGAAAGACAATATACTAATTTTGAGAAACATCTTTCTGTAATGGGCTTTCATTGAAAATCAAATTATATGTAAATGTATATAATTCTTTTAACGTTACCCTGTGTAAAGTTATCATACTGTCAATATTTTTTAATTTGCTGCTAAAAATCCATAAAGATAATCGTTATTTTCTCAAATTTCAATAATCCAATGCCTATTACTAATGTTAAGATAGTGCTTCCTTAGTCGGATCCAGGGGGCCCTGAGGGCCTACCCCCCTCCTTTCATTGGAAACATTTGGTTGATTACATATGGAATCACTGAAACATGTATGTAGCGGGCCCTCTCTTGAGACAGTCAGTGGGACCCCTTATATGAAAATTGTCTAGATGTTATATTTCCCCCCCGCTGCTCGTCGTAAGACCCGCAGCCGACTGCTGACAGATTTTCCGCGGGTCCTCGTAGGGAAATGGAACTTTTTGGAAAATCTCGAAAATTCCTCCAAGGCCAGAACGACAAACAAGAAATATGTCGGATGGATAGCAGGGACCATCGGGTCGACGGCCGACTGTACCCGCCCTAGCTGGTTATGCCACTCGTTTGCAAAAGAAAACTTGCGTTAATTCTTTTAGGGGCTCCCTAGTTGACCAGTTAAAATTTCTGTCCTTGTCTAATTGATCCCAATTTCCAGTGATATTTCATATTGTCCGCCTTCATCCAAGCCTACCCCTATTGCAGGACCTTTCTGAAATTGTTTTTTTTCAACTTCACCTCAAAAATGATCTTCTTCTAGATACTCATCATCCAATAATACAAATATTATTCAAAACGTATAGCTATACATGCTTTGCGATTTCAACATTGAGTTTTAAGAATGAATAAGAAAAATAAACAGCTCATAATGTAGGTATTTATTTCTTTATAGAAAGAAAGGTTAGATGGTCAATTATCATTTATTTAGAGGATCAACGTCCGACTCTTTTTGTTCTATTTTTTGTTGTGTTGAATTGTATCAAATTATTACCTTTAATTAATTTTTGGTCAGTAGACTAACACAGGGCCTACAATGTTCCTTTTAAATCAATTGATTTTGTTCTCTTCTGAAATATGCATGTCTTTTTTTTGAGATGTTTGACCCTTGACATAAAGCAAACCACAACTAATCGATCATTTCTTTTTTACAAAATCTTACCCCCCCCCCCCCCCCAAAAAAAAAAAACAAAACAAAACAAAACAACGATATTGATTTTTTTTCATTTGTGAAAAGTATTTTTTTCTGTGCCTCACACAAACAATTTTAAGCTTGGCCTTTCTTGAACTGTCAACTTTCTAATTGTATCTTCTTAATATTATGTATAAATAGTTAGGAGCTAAAAGCTATAATTCCAAACAGTCAACACCAAGTGGCACTTTGATCTTTAATCTTCACTACAGCATTTGAATAATTATAGTTGATGGACTGACTTGTAAAAACCATCGTTCTTTGAAACTGCATTAAATTGAAAACTTACAGAAGAGAGTTTTTGTATGAGAGATTTAGTCTATTTTAAAGCGTTTACTAAGTTTATGCATATAATTTGTTGTTTCTATTGCAACACTATCACTAATAATGCCTGGAATATTATTAATATTTCTCAAATACAAGAAAACCTGCATAATGTAAGCAAAATTGTATACATTCATTGCTATATGTATCGAAGTTCATTAAAACGAATTTGTAAAAATCAGCACTCATCAGTAATTTTGAAAATGGACTGCTTGTTTCCATGGCAACGAATTCAATGGCAAATATTGCACAATTGAATATATATAATTTTTAAATGATTTTATTTGTTTTTTCTAGATTGAGTAATTGTTTTTCTTGTATATTTTTAATGATCACGAAAACAGACTGAAATTTCTTCATAATCAGCACTTTTATCCAGATTAGAGAAATTGTGTTTGTCTCCTTCAAGTGGTAACACCATTATCGATATACTATACTAGCAAAATTATTTATATATACACATTTGTGTATACAATGAAACTTGATAAGTGTTTTGGTTTTCCTACTTTTGTGCACATTTAAGAAACTAACTGAAACTTTTTCAAAATTGTTTTAAACTTGTGTATCATCATGAAATTGTTTCCATAGCAACACAGTTTAAACTATAATACTTTTATATATGAATATGTTTAAAATTTGAATGATTACAATAATTTCTACATATTGTATATTTATTTATTTTTTCTGACTGCAGAATTAGGTTTTAAAACATTTTTTTTCAAAATTTTTCAAATTTTTTTTTTCTGAAAAAATTCAAACTAAGCATTTTGTATCCATGGTAACAAAATAATGAGACATAATTCCCCATGACTTTTTCGCGTCATTAATAAGATAAGATTATGGTATTTATGAATTCATGGTTGACTTTTACTTCAAAAGGGTATTGTTTACCTAATGCAAACCACATAAAAAGGGGGTATATGTGGTTATGATTGAAAATTGATATGAAAATATCAGTTATTAAATTACATTAATAAAATGCATATATTTAATAAAACCATAAAAAAATATTCTGTCTCTTATTCATTTAATATGAAAAATTATGTTGAAAATAGCATTTTTCAGCTTAAATCATAGATATCCAGAACAGGTAAAACTGGTCATCGGTCGCCATGGCAATCGATATGCATAGCAACCAAAATTTTGTCATTTTTTGTTTGTTTCATCAAGACTAGTAAGTGTGTGAAGTTTGAAGAAAATCGATGACCATGTGTGCCACACTCCCTATGTAAGAGTTTAAATAGTTACAGAGAACCAGTATTAAATTTTTATACAATGGGTGCAGAAAGGGATAAATTGACGAAGAGTTAGAGAAAATGAATTATCTGGACTGCGCGTATTACATACTTACATTCACTGAGAAAAGGAGGCAACGATAACACGGTCAGAATATAGTTTAAATCATATGCATCTATATATTTGTTTATAAACCTGCCAAAAGTTCAAGATTAAATGTTCAGTTGCTATAAGAAAAATTCGTCAAGGGTTCTGCAGAACTGTCTTTCGCCATCGAATGTTAGTGTAAAAAGATTATGTTGACTAAAATTGAGAATTGAAATGGGGAATATGTCAAAGATACAACAACCCGACCAAAGAGCAGACACCAGCTGAAGGCCACCAATGGGTCGTCAACGCAGCGAGAAAATCCCGCACCCGGAGGTGGTCCTCAGCTGGCCCCTAAATAAAATTGTGTACAATAAAAAAGAAGATGTGGTATGATTGCCAATGAGACAACTCTCCACAAGAGACCAAATGACACAGAAATTAACAACTATAGGTCACCGTACGGTCTTCAACAATGAACAAAGCCCATACCGCACAGTCAGCTATAAAAGGCCCCGAAATGACAATGTAAAACAATTCAAACGAGAAAACTAACGGTCCTAATTTATGTACAAAAAATGAACGAAAAACAAATATGTAACACATAAACAAACCACAACCACTGAATTACAGGCTCCTGACTTGGGACAGGCACATACATACAGAATGTGGCGGGGTTAAACATGTTAGCGGGATCCCAATCCTCCCCCTAACCTGGGACAGTGGTGTAACAGTACAACATAAGAACGAACTATAAAAATCAGTTGAAAGAGGCTAGTTCAGTGAAAATGGACGTCACACTAAACTCCAAAACATATAAATGAACTAAAATTAAAAAACATACAAGACTAACAAAGGCCAGAGGCTCCTGACTTGGAACATGCGCAAAAATGCGGCGGGGTTAAACATGTTTTGTGAGATAGTCTATTTATCAGTAAAATACAGAATTTAAAAAAAAAAAACTTTTTTAGATGCTATTTCTTGATCTTGGAGATTAGCTTCTGTCCAAGTTTCATTACAAAATTTAAATTTACTATGTTAAAAAATGTAATCCAAGACTGCAAAAAAAGAAAGTCCATCTATCAGTAAAATACTGAAAAATGAAAAAAATATATTTTAAAATATTACTTTACACATTATTTCTTAATCATAAAAAGGCTTCTGCCACAGTTTCATAAAATTTTATAAAGGTTTGACAAAGTAATCGATGTGTATCAAACTTTAATCCAATATGAAAATAAGGAGTTGTGGTATGGTTGCCAATTAACCAAGACTGTGTTTAATAGGTAAATATAGGTAACTGCAAAAAATAAGCCCTTTTATCAGAAAAATACGGAAAAATGAACAAAAAAAAAATATTTTGCTATGGATATCGTCTTTTGATCATAAAAATGCTTCTGTCCAACTTAGGTAAAATTCCTTGAAGGTGTAACAAAGTAATTGACTGATACACTTTAGCCTTTTACTGTATCTAAATTTAAACCGTAAACAAAACTAAAAAAACTAACTCCATTTATTTATAAAATACGGAATATTTTTAAATTTTTGCTATAGATAGTCTTTTGGTCATAAAAAGTTTCTGTCCAAATTTCATAAAACTCCATAAAGGTTTGACAAAGTTATTGATGTATAAAAAAATGTTTAACCACAGACGGAACCTAAATGTTGACGACGGAATCTAAGATCGCTATGTCTGGCTTCCACAACATAAATAAATTCGCGACTCGGCAAAAATGGATCTTGTTTTTACAGTTATTCTTAAACAAAAAGGGTAAATTAAGTATTAAATTCAATGTAATAATGCATAAATAAGTATTTTTTTTTTATACATTTGTCATGCCAATTCACTTAAATTTTACATGAACATATGAACAGTAAATTTTGTCTGCTTTAAAAATCTGCGAATTTTGTGACCAATCAAAATGAAAAAATGCCTTTTTGTCTTCGACTCTCCTGGGGAAATCTTGCATAAATGTTACAGCTTTTTATATAATTGAAGTATTTGTCTCTCTCTCTCTCTCTCTGGAACTTTTGTATTGTTAATAAAGTTTGTTCATTATACTACAGGTAATTGTATATGTGCCTTTTTACTGCATGATGTTATTTGATGTGTTGAGAAGTTAAGGAACAGATGAGATATCCCCTACATTTCCATAGCATGATGAAGATATATCGTAGGTGAGATGAAATATACATTATACCTACATTCAGTGAAAGTGACCGATTTTGATACGCATTCTTTTAAACATGTTAAAGGTTCACAATAAAAGATTAGTTAAGATACATGTATATTGAAACACTTCAAATTTCTACCTCGGATTCCTTTGCACGACGACCATTCTGTAATAGATTTTCTTTCGTCAGCCCATGTGATAAAAGCAAGTAAAGATCATAAGCGTGATATCCAGTATAAGGGAGATGATAGCGTTACAATAGGTTCAGCTTGTAAGCTTAATAATATAGGTACATGTATTTAGCTTGCCAAAATATATTAAAAGTCTAACTTTTCAGCTAGATGATATAGGTCCAGCATGCTAGTTTGCATTACAGTAATCAAACTTTCTATATACAGTTTGGCATGACAGAGAGGAAAGTTTCCAGCATGATGATATATATCTGAACTTCTCCCTTTGTCTGCTGTATATATATAATAAAGAGATTCAGCTTGTTCGGCTAATGATAAATTTAGCCTATCGACTTTTCGCTGTACAATAAAGAGATCCAGCTCATCGGCTTTGTGATATTAATTATACAGAAGCTTTCCAGCTAGCTTCATAGCATATAGATATAAAGTTTTGTTGTAAATGTGCATGCAACGTTGGTCACAGCACATTAATAAAATAATAATTGATCTTTCACGCACAGTTTCAGTATACATCTGTATTAATGAATTTCATATGCATGACATATCCACAAAAATGAGAATATGATAGTAGTAATAACCTTTGCAAACAAAAGTAAAATCTTTATCTTAACACCCTGACGAATTACCTTAGAAATCTACAAAGGCTTTGGTACCCGCATTTTATCAACAATAAGCAATATACTAATGTATTTACTTTATCTTATTGTTTGTAAAAGCACGGACATTTAATAAATTACGGTTACAATGAATAATAGCAAGAAGATATTTGTTTCTAACTATATACATGCTTACTTTTGATCGCCACCTAGTCGAATCTTCTGAAGGTTTCCGTGGGTCATAATCACTTGTCCATCCTAAATAATCAACAATAACTTTGAAAAAGTTGTTTTGGTTATAATTTTAATGCTATGATTTTTTCCCCATATAATTTGTCTCCCAAAGTATTGCCGATATCCTGCATGTATGCAGGATATCGGCATCAAGGTATACCAGATGAAGTTTATTCTAGATATCCCGTGTTCCCTGAAAGTGGTAGTACAGTATCATGTGTTTTCATGAGCATTTCCATTTGCTAAACACTCAATAAAAATCATAAAAGCATGTATAAATCATTTGACAACCAAAGGCGAATTATATTAAATCTTGTCACTCAAAGAACAAGTTAATTTCCTTGTGATTGTGTGGAAAAAAAAACGTCTCTTGATGCAAATATACCCGAATGAATACATCAGATTAAATTTAGAGACAATACAAATACTCTGCAAATCATAACGCAAACATTATGAAATCATTGAGAATATGAAAATTCTTGGGCGAAACTGAACCTTTTTTATAACATTTTTAGAAGCACCGCAAATTAGGAAAAAAGAGGGTCATATCGTGAAGCCTTAAAGAATATAAAAATCACACCAATGCAATAAGCACGTTACATTTTAGGAAAACAAACAAAAGGTGCGAGTGACACCAACTTCATTTAACTTTGAAATATATGCTAAAAGGGACGGACAACAAATAATATAAATGCATTCAAGAACTCTCAATTGGTTGATAAAGTCGAGCGTTTGATTTTGTCAGGTTTTATGGACTTCTTTTTGTACCTCTTATTGAAGGACACTGAACATATAAATTTAAAAATGTATATGGTGAAATTATGTATGAATGTGTATGCGTCTTAAATTCCATGTTAAAAAAACGGGCTATTCTAGTAGGACGTATTTAAACTTTTGAACAAGAGTTTGTCGTAAACGAAGTATATACGTTTACTGATTGTCCTCTTCAGCCTGCTACAGCTTGATTACAAAGGCTAACATGTATATTGCCGTTAAATCCACTTGTACAGTTCCGTTCGATAGTATTGCTTATGTGACATTTTGTATTTTTGTATGATCTTAAAAAATCTACTTATTTTTTAAACGAAGAAATGTTATTGAAAAAGTGGAATTGATAATTGTTTTCATTGCGTGTGGATATCAAACCACTGATAAAATTACAGAGGTGTAGATAGTTCTGAGTTGTATCAAAGTACTTATGTTTCTGTCACTCTTGATCTTTACATGCACTATTTCAAAAACTTAATACAGACAAACGAATAATAGATCAAGAACAAAACCTTTGTTCGACATAATACAAATTAGTGCATCCAGTTTGTGTCATATTTTTACGTTATCGTGTCTTACTAGATACACATGCCGTTATATATGTCATACAACTGGTTCATTTATGCCGAAACTTAATATTGTTCCCGTCATTTGGAGCATCGACGAATGCGAGATATATATTCCTGTAACAGTACTTCAAAAATGAAAACAACACGTTATAAATTTCATGCATCCGAAGCGCTTTTCTGGATTTACCTTCATCAGGAACGCTCAAAGCCGAATATTTGAAAGCCAAGTGTGTATAAGAACCGAAACAGTTGAAAAGCTATATGACCAAAAAGGACCTAAAAAAATAGCCAAATCCATCTAAGGTCAACTTTGCCTGAGGGAGTTGAAACCTTAGTTTCTTTATAATTTAAAAATTTATAAACGGACAATTTTAGAAAGGTTTGTTATAAATCATGTCAGTACCGAAGTACTGACTACTAAGCTTATGATACCCTCGGGGACTTATAGTCCACTATAGCAGAGGTATCGACCCAGTGCTGTAAAAAATGAAAACAACACGTTATAAATTTCATGCGTCCGAAGCACTTTTCTGGATTTGAATGAGGAACGCTCAAAGCCGAATATTTGAAAGCCAAGGATAAAAATCTATAAAACTCAAGTACTGTTAATTGACACAAAATCGTGTATCGCCTATTTGAAATGTTGATAGTTTAATGCAAATGTTGAATCTAAATGGCAATATTTAAACATGTAAACTGGGCAAAACATTCGAAGTCCATGAACCATGATTGAAGGTGCAGGGCCAAAATATATATAACCTCCATTGAAATGAGAAATGCCAATACTTATAAAACTGCATACCAAATATCATAGACTTATCATACATTATTAAGTAAGTGATTTCATTTAAACTAAACTAATCACAAACTTTGACATGTAAACTATGCAAAAATTCCAAAGTCAATTAACCATGACTGAACTGAGGGGCTTACCATATTATGTTAATGGATACGAGACATTTTAATACTAATATAACTACATACCAAATATCATTAATTGGCCTAGTGATTCCCCTTAAAGTGACCTAATCACAATAAACTAATATAAATGATATAAACTAAGCAACATTTAAAAAGTAAATGAGACCATGACTGATGGACGGGGCCAAATTACCTCCATGAAAATAAGAAATGTCAATGCTTATAAAACTGCATACCAAATATCATTGACTTATCACAAGTGGTACCCTTTAAACTAACCCAAACAAATACTTTAACTTGTCGAAACTATGTAAAAGTTTCAAAGTCAATGAAACATGATGAGGGGCAGGGCCATATAATCTCAATAGAATAAGACTTGCAAAGGCTTATACTACTGCATACCAAATATAATTGACTTGCAATTAGTGGTTCGTCTTCAACTGATTTAATCACAAACGTTTATAGTATTTTCCTGCGGTTCGAATAGTAAAGCGGGAAAATATTGTATTGTCGTTACGTTTATCATAAGAGCTCTGCGTTTATCATAAATATTCATAAGGCATAACAAAATTGACCAATCAGGAAGTAGAATTTTGTATTACGATATACTTGGTGTTTTTCAAGCGGTTCACTTTCTAGCCGTCCTTTAACATAGTAAGTTCTACTGTCGAGCAGTGAGCCAGGATCCCAGGCTAGTTGTTTATGTCTTTGGTACGGTCCCTCAATGGATAGGCTACCACGTGCGACATTGTATAGTTCAACAATCGAAGTTCGTATGTAGATCGGAAAATTAAAAAAAAAATAAAACTAGATTGCAGTAAAAATCATTTATATATTGGCACCTATTTGCTTTTTTGGCAGAACATATGTGATTTTAATGATTCGAAATAATCAGAATGTTTATTAAATATCAAGTAAAATGATAACGCAATTATATAATTCATGCTTTGAGACGGCCCCTGTGCGCGTTGTGTGTGTAGTATTTAATACAACGTGTTAATGTGCATTGTGACAATAAACCTGGGAATAGTGTACTCATAAATTAAGTCTCAAAATAAACTGATTATTTCTAAACGTTTACCACGTGACATTATGTACTTCAATCACAACCTGGGCAAATGTCGGAAAGCAAGAAGAAAATTTACAAAACGATATTTCTGTTATAAAGGAAATTTTTAAATCTAGCTGTACATTGATATTTATTATTATTAATTTTCAATATATATATATATTTTTTAATCCCGTCTCTCATAATTCTATAATATTTTATATTGTTTTATGTATTCGTGTATTATGTTATGTATTGTAATATTAATGGTGAGACGTAAATAAACTATTTGTTGTTGTTGTTGTTATAAATATTTATCTAAGGTTGTAAAGCATAATTATAGTTAAACAAAACAATATTTCTTTCAAACTATTTAATTTCATTAAAATAAACGAACAGACCAAGAAAATATTCATTAACATAATTAAGTTTAAACTGAGACTAAATTTGTCATTAATAGAATATAATGTATAATGTTATATTATGTCCGACATGTCTCTGAGTCTGAACAGTTAACACATTTATGAACATTATATGCAACATATGAGCACCAATTATCAGGGATGCGTACAAATATGTTAGTTAAATTTATCCTGTAGTGAATGAAAAAATACTTCACAACGATTTTAAATCTTTGCATCTCACAAAAAAACGTATTTAATATTTTACAATAACCATTTAATTACTGCGTTAGTTATTTAATTTCGTTTAAGTATGGTTTTATAAGTTTCTGCTTATATTTTGTATAGCAATTTATTCATATAATGGAAATTTAGACTTGAAGAGATTGATTTAATAAATAAAAAGTCCATCAGTAAATATTTGATGTTTGTTTTTATTGACATTATATTTTTAAATTTTCGGAAATGATTCATTGACAGGAATGTATGTTAATTAAATTTCAATTCTTTTTGTTTTGTTTTTAATAGTTTAACCTTATAGCATCTTAATATTTTCAATATGGTCCGATTCAGTTGAAAATTATGTATTCATTGTGTGGACCAGGAATCATACACCCGTCTTGGTTTATTTACATTATATTACAACCTGTTCACACGAGACAACATAGGTTTGCGTTTACACAAATTTCGGATAAAATGGTCATAAATCCGGAGTCAAATCACTTGAGGTAGGTAGTTTGACATCCGAATTCAACAAGCATTAGATACGAGCCTAGAATAAATATACGTGATGACGCAAATGTGTATTATAATCCAGAGTATCAGTGTGTATGCTTTCTTGCGCAAGAAAACCACGTTCAAGCATAAATATTAATTTCACTCGTGGACTCTAAAAAAAATTTTTTTCGCATTTCTTATCTAAATTCAGGATACGACAGTAAGAGCTGGACATGTGACGATGAATCATGGTCATCATAAGTTAAGGTATTCTGACCTCTAGCTGTTTCTCTTTCCTTTTTCTTTTTTAGAGTGACTGTCCTATTATAAATTTTGAAATTTTCGAAATACTAAGGATGTTCTTCCCAAGGAATACATAGATTACCTTAGATGTATTTGGCAAAACCTTTGTTTCGGAATTTTGGGTCTTCAATGCCCCTCAATTTCATACATTATTTGGCCTTTTTAACATTTTTTATTGGAGCGTCACTGATGAGTCTTTTGTAGACGAAATGCGCGTCTGGCGTACAACATTTCAATCCTGGCATCTCTACATTTTTGTATATCTACTTAGGGTACATATCCTTTTTTAATATCAATTGGTTCTTTTGAGATAAAATTGAGAATGGAAATGGGGAATATGTAAAAGAGACAACAACCCGACCAAAGAGCAGAAAACAGACGAAGGCCACCAATGGTCTTCAACACAGCGAGAAAATCCCGTACCCGGATTCGGGCTTCAGCTGGCCCCTGAATAAAAATGTGTACTAGTTCAGTGAAAATGGACGTCATACTAAACTCCAAAACATATAAATGAACTAAAATAAAAAAAAAAAACATACAAGACTAACAAAGACCAGAGGCTCCTGACTTGGAACAGGCGCAAAAATGCGGCGGGGTTAAAAATGATTTGTGAGATCTCAACACTCCCCCGATACCTCTAGCCAATGTAAAATAAACGAACACACAGCAATACGCACAGTAAAACTCAGTTTAAAAGAAGTCCGAGTCCGATGTCAGAATAAGTAACAAAAGAAACTAAGCAAAACGACAATGATACATAAATTAAAAAAGGACTACTAGCAGTTACTGACATGCCAGCTCCAGACTTCAATTAAACTGATTGAAAGATTATGTCTTCAAAGAATAAAGCATATTCAGGTATTCATAAAACTTCTTCAGAACTAAGTTTTTCCTATAGAATATTTTGATTGATTAAAGTAACTTCAGGAAATCCTTAGAATTTGAGAAGTTTTTAAAGACCAAAATAATTGTCAGTATATAAAAGGTCCCAATGGAGCTGGTGTGTTACTCTCAAAAACAAAATACGAAACCTGCTTATAAGTTGGATGCCACAGAGTTACACTTCACATGGAAATTGGACTTTCAATTTCTCTATACAACAGAGTACCATGAGTACAGATGACAGCTTCAATAATGAGTATAAAAATAAATGAATCCATCAAGGAAACAAAATATGAAGGTATGACAGATGAAATGAATGCATCCAGATTATTTTAGCAAACTGAGTGCTTAAATTCATATTGCGATTGATCTGTGTAATTTGCTTTAGGACTTTGTATGCATATTAAACACGAAGAAAAACTGATGTACACTCCCAAGTAATAAATAAAACAGTCAAGCCTTAAAAGGTAAATTCATATGGTAGCTGTATACACTTTTCTATTTACAACAAAAATACAACATCGCTTTTAATTGACTTATGTAAGAAACTACACACAATTACATATTTTCAATAGAGGTGTTTTAACATCATCAGTACCTTATTCTATTCAGTCAATTATTTCAAATCTAAAGCCAAAAAAAAAATCAGCAACACTTTTTAGTGACCAGTCAGCTGTCTGGGGTTCACGTGTTGCTTTTCTTTTTTTTTAAAGAAAGCAACTTGTTTTATATATTTTAAATTTTGTTTGCATGACTGCAGTTCCACAATCAAGAAGATCGGTGCTAAAGCAATTCAAGAACTCTCACACAGTGTTCACGTCTAATATCAACAAACAGCATTATGTTTCATAATTAAGTTAATTCAATCTGCTATTAGGCAAACATATACATGTATACTTTCGTATACTATTATAATCCTATTCGAATACAATATAGAAATAATAAAGGATCATTAAGAAATCGATATATACATTTAATGTCCTAACAACGGCTTGCATATACACAATTAAAATAATAACCAAATACAGCATACTGTAATCAGATTATGGTTATGGGGTTTCAAAGGGGATAAATCTTAATCAAGATTGAAAGTTTTCTATCATTTTATTATGTCTTAAAGACTTTTCTTTAAGTTAAAATACTGACATTTGTTGGATAATAGTAGAGCACTATTACACTCTTATACAACAGTTATTGTATTGCGTTAGCCCCTCGCACTAAATTTCATATGTCTTTCAATTGTCTTACCATTACATAGAATTGAAAGCAAACAGATGTCACAATATGCGCTTGTCGATATGCATTTAATGTTGCAATAATAACTATGAAATATGAGTAGAAGTGGTTCAAGTATTATACATATTCGTCATTTGGATTTGTCAAATAGTTTTAAGATTTTATTCATGTTTCAGTATATATTTACGATTTGAATAATGTCTCTACGTCGGAGAACGCTACAATTGGAATACATCCGATTAAAAATTGTAGTTTTTTTTAGGCGATCAGAGTTTAGGAATGGGTTGGATTGATGTTTTGTTAAATTCCAAAACTGTTCGTCAATAATATATGCACTGAACATTTGGGTTCCTTGTAAAAGTGACAGCGTGGCAATGAAACCAGCAAAAATGAACTCTTTAGTCTTTATATACAACCTAGTCCTGTGATATCATCTTGGGTGGATAGCTTTGATCGTCAGTCCTTCCGCATATCAAATCAATGGCATATACATGTGCATGTACAATGTATGTCAAATCATCATTATTGTGTATGTTATCGTCTTTTCCATATGAAGTATTGTAACATATATTAAGTGCTATATTTTTTCTATAGAAAAAAAACAGGGGCGGATCCAGTCATTTATAAAGGGGGGTCCTAACCCAGGATAACCCCCCGGACCCCCCCCCCCCCCCTTCCCCCGGGTTCCGCCACTGAAAAATGTTTTAATTCTCATGAAAGACAAATACATATACTCTACCAAAATCATTTTTACTTTTCTTTTTAGTTTATTGTATTTTTACTCTCCCTGTTCGTGGGGCGCTTCGATTCATACCGAGACTGAAAGTTGATTAGCAAATTGCAGGATTAAGAAGGTCAAGATAAAAAAACGTCTGCCATATATACTCTAAGGAAATGTGCGAATCAATTGCTGGTTAAATAAAAAAAAAATTTAAGTGGTTTTATTATTTCATTTTTCATTCCATGTTAAAATTGACTCACGGCCGTGCAAGTATGAACTTAGAACTCATTTCCTCTTCTTTTCAGCGTCCTTTTCCTGATAAAGGTGTATCACATTGTGTTCTGTTGTATAACAACATAAAGTGCTACATGTATCATAAGTGAATGAATAACTATATAAAATTCAGAACAATTGAAAAATATTCAGCAGTGGTACACGGAAAAACTCACAATGGACAGGCGCTTGTATTGGTTGTTCATCAAAACAAGCCAGACGTCTTACATCAAGATGTAGCCAGTCCCTTAGTTCAGGCATAACTTACATAAGTGTGTCTGAAGATAAGATTCTGATAATAAGTTTCAGAAAGATAAAATACATGTATTATTAATAAATAAATTATGGATGGTAAGATAAACGAAGATATTATAATTAAGTTTACAACTCCAATATACCTCCGAGTTGCGATTTTATCCATTCGTCTGATATTTTTCTGCTATTCCACATTGAAGGAGCACCTGGTGCATATGTGTTTGACCTTCTTAATGGAGTTGGTGCCTTCTCATCAGCCAGTCTATCAGAATTTTTCTTTTGTGGCGGTTCTGCTTGAGGTACGTCATTCAACTGTACCAAAGAATTGATCTTTTTGTGTCCAGTGTTCCTGTCCACGTCACCACCAGCGCTTACGAACCCTGACACAGGGTCCACAATATTGTCATAATCACGGTAGGGTGCTGGTGGACGAAAATCACCATCGTCATTCCATCGTTTAAAGGCAATGTCCCGTTTGCTTGTTTGAAAAGAATCAACATCTGCCTTACCAGTTAGCGTTGGAAACTTCATCTGCCGGTTACGGCGATGAGTTTGAATCTGTTGAACAGTGTTACCTCCAGCATTTGCATCACTCCGCAAATAAAGCTCGAAATTGGGACGGGTCCGAAATGTTGAATCGGCCAGCACAGACACATTTGTGAACACTTCAGTCATGTTTTGATTATGATTCAATTAAAACCAAAAGATATAATTTTAAAAAATATACTACACAATAATCACATTATACAAATTTAAAAGTCTAGTTATCGATATGCTATTTCCGACATAATGTAAACTACCGTGTTACCCTGGGATATACGATAAATACCATATAAGGAAGAATCCGGAAGTAGCAGGTGCCCGTCGGAGATTTTTCTGGTTTTTCAATTTTTAATTTTTTAAATTGAAACCATTTAAAGCAAAAAATATTTTAAAAAGTTCAAAAGTATCATCCTTAAAATTATTTTTTTCTATCTAACGAAAAATATAAACAACAGCTTGCCACCGGAAGTAGAATTTGACACGCCGGCAAAGTTTACATCATGGCGGCCAGGAAAAGAAATCAACTGATCCAGAACAGCAATAATGCCAATCAAACGCATTCTGGAAAGAAAAAACTTGCAAAGAAATCAGATTTTAAAGACAAAATCACATGCGATTCGGAAAATGCACTCAATTTCACGCCGACAACAAAAGCAATCACTTTAATTTTGGGTATTTATAGAAATTTACTAGATAATTATACCATGATACTGGGTTAAACGGGTTGGGCTAAAATGAGAAACGCAATGAACGAAACGAAACTAAAAATAACACTGTATAGTCAGGTATTTTAAAAGACCTTTTACAATAGACAATATAGACAATATTTATTAGCACAAACACATTTACATTAAACGGTTATGGCATACAGTATTGAGCAATTTGAGGCAATAAATTGACTATAATTATATTAGAGTGACAGTGGTATTCACAGGGGAAAAAAAAAAAGACCATAAATATGTGTGTATTACATAACATAAAATATGAAGCAATTCAGGAAAAAACTGACATCCTGATTTATGACATAACAATAAAAAAAAGGACACACAACTATCAGACTACAACTGAACATTCTGAATAACAGGCTCCTGATTTAGGACAACCAGATACAGCAGGGTTTACCTTGGCAGTCACCATTATCGCATTTTGAGAAAAAATTAATATTGTGGCCTTTTTTTTAAACCAACATTTTTTGCAAAAGAGTAATACATGTAACTGATTGACTTTGGCTATTTTGCTTAGTTTTTTTCTCAGCCTTCCCTTGACTTTCCTAATCAGTCAACACTCGGCATTTTGATCTTGAACTTGTCACATATTTCGATTTTGACAGGAAATTAATAATCAGCTGATTGTCATAAAGGTACATGTTTAAGGGTACAAGTCAAATCAGCACCTGGTCAAAGCAGAGGGGGGAAATTAGGTTTTACCCTTGTCCGTACGTCCGTCTGTCGTCAACATGTCGGACATGAACTCAAAAACGCTTTAACCAATTTGCATGAAACTTTGGTAAATTGTCAATATCTATTGACGTGAGCTCCCTTTCGTTTTTTATAAATTTTAGATTTTACGTTTCCGAGTTTTGGGGTTTTATTCATTAAATAAAGGGGGATTTTCCAGTTTTCGGACAATGACTCACAAACTCTTTCAGCAATTTGCAAGAAACTTTAATGAATTGTTTATAGCTATTGACATGAACTCCCTTTCGATTTTTATAAATTTTAGATTTTATGTTTCCGAGTTATGGGGTTTTATTGTCGAGCCTGTGAATTCTATCATTGACAGCTCAACATAGGGATAGTGATCCGCTGGCAGCGTTAACAAACTTCTTAAAAGCTTAATATTTCAGAAGGTAGAAGACCTGGATCCTTCATACTTTGTATATAGATGCCTTTTGTTATGAAGTTTCCGTTTGTCATATGTCTATTGTCATGATTCTCCTTGACCTCATTTCCATGGTTCAGTGACTTCTTGAAAAAAAGGTTAAGATTTTTAGTTTTCTTAATTTCTCTCTTATTATGAGTAATAGGATAACTATATTTGGTATGTGCGAGGTCCTCGTGCCCATCAGACAGTTTTCACTTGACCTCAAATTCATTTCATGGATCAGTGAACAAGGTTAAGTTTTCTTGGTCAAGTCCATATCTCAGATACTATAAGCAATAGGTCTACTATATTTGGTGTATGTAATGATTGTAAGGTGTACATGTCCAACTTGCAGGTGTCATCTGACCTTGACCTCATTTTCATGGTTCATGGTTCAGTGGTTAATGTTTTTATGCCCCAGCGACAAAATTTTGAGGGGCATATTAATTTACCCCTGTCCGTCAGTCTGTACGTCCAGATTAGGGTACATTGTTTGTCCGGCTATCTCCTCCTACAGTTTTGTAGGTACAACTTTAATATTTTGTAGGATGTTCATACACATAATGAAGGTGTGCATGGCCACAGGATTTTGATTTTTTCCAAATATTCTGAAAATGACAGGTAGTTGGACTTAGTCATTTTTTGGGTACTAGCTGCATAAAGAGATCATGGTTTGTCAGGCTATCTCCTCCTACAGTTTTGGAGGTACAGGTTTAATATGTTGTAGGATGTTCATACACATAATGGAGGTGTGTATGGCCTTGGGATTTTGATTTCTTTTAAATATTCTGAAAATGACAGGTAGTTGGACTTAGTCATTTTTTGTCGAGCCTACGACTTTTGTCGCAGAAAGCTCGTCATAGGGATAGTGATGCGGCGGCGTTAGCTAACTTCTTAAAAGCTTTGTATTTTAGAAGGTGGAAGACCTGGATGCTTCATACTTTGTATATAGATGCCTTATGTTCAGATGTTACGAAGTTTCCGTCTGTCACATGTCCATTGTCCATGACCTCATTTTCATGGTTCAGTGACTACTTGAAAAAAGTTAAGAATTTTTGTAATGTTAATTTCTCTCTTATAATGAGTAATAGGATAACTATATTTGGTATGTGTGTACCTTGCAAGGTCCTCATGCCCGCCAGACAGTTTTCACTTGACCTCGACCTCATTTCATGGATCAGTGAACAAGGTTAAGTTTTGGTGGTCAAGTCCATATCTCAGATACTAGAAGCAATAGGTCTAGCAAATTCGGTGTATGGAAGGACTGTAAGGTGTACATGTCCAACCGGCAGGTGTCATCTGACCTTGACCTCATTTTCATGGTTCAGTGGTTATAGTTAAGTTTTTGTGTTTTGGTCTGTTTTTCTTATACTGTATGCACTAGGTCTACTATATTTGGTGTATGGAATGATTGTAAGGTGTACATGTCTAGCTGGCAGGTGTCTCCTGACCTTGACCTCATTTTCATGGTTCACTGGTCAATGTTAAATTTTTGAGTTTTGGTCTTTTTTTCTAATACTATATGCAATAGGTCAACTATATTTGGTGTATGGAAATATTTTATGATGTACATGTCAGTCTGGCCTGTTTTATTTGACCTTGACCTCATTTTCACGTTTCATAGCTCAGTGTTAAGTTTTTATACAACCGCAAAAAAATTTTGCGGTCGTATATTGGTATGACGTTGGTGTCGCCGTCGTTGTCATCGTCTGAAGACACATTGGTTTTCGTACTCTAACTTTAGTTTAAGTGAATGGATCTCTATGAAATTTTACCATAAGGTTCAATACCACAAAAGGAAGGTGGGGATTGATTTTGGGGGTTATGGTACCAACAGTTAAAGAATTAGGGGCCAAAAAGGGGCCAAAAATAAGCATTTTTGTAACTTCCAGACATAACTTGTGTGTTAGTGTATGGATCTCTCTGACATATTGTACCACAAGGTTTCATATCATAAAGGGAATGCTGGGATTGATTTTTGGGGTAATTGCCTCCAAATTTGAGGAATTAGGGGCCAAAAAGGGGCAACAAACAAGCATTTTTCTAGTTTCATGACAATAACTTGTGTGTAAGTGTATGGATCTCTCTGACATTGTACCACAAGGTTCCATATCACAAAGGGAATGCTGGGATTGATTTTGGGGGTAATTGCCTCCAAATTTGAGGAATTAGGGGCCAAAAAGGGGCAAAAAACAAGCATTTTTCTAGTTTCATGACAATAACTTGTGTGTAAGTGTATGGATCTTTATGAAATTGTACCACAAGGTTCCATATCACAAAGGGAAAGCTGGAATTGAGTTTGGGGGTAATTGCCTCCAAATTTTAGGAATTAGGGGCCAAAAAGGGGCAAAAAACAAGCATTTTTCTAGTTTCATGACAATAACTTGTGTGTAAGTGTATGGATCTTTATGAAATTGTACCACAAGGTTCCATATCACAAAGGGAATGCTGGGATTGATTTTGGGGGTAATTGCCTCCAAATTTGAGGAATTAGGGGCCAAAAAGGGGCAAAAAACAAGCATTTTTCTAGTTTCATGACAATAAATTGTGTGTAAGTGTATGGATCTCTCTGAAATTGTACTGCAAGGTACCATACCACAAAGGGAAGGCTGGGATTGAGTTTGGGGGTAATTGCCCGAAACGTTCAGGAATTGGGGGCCAAAAAGGGGCCAAAAATAAGCATTTTTCTAGTTTCCAGACAATAACTTGTCTTCAAGTGTATGGATCTCTCTGAAATTGTACTGCTAGGTACCATACCACAAAGGGAAGGCTGGGATTGAGTTTGGGGGTGATGAATCATAAGGGGGTTCAAAAAATTTGGGGGGGGGATTTTTTTTTTTTCTTTTTTTTTCTGTTTTTCCTTCTTTTTTTTCTTTTAAAATTTTCCATTTTAAGTTGGTTATTACTGATTTATATTTAAAAGCAAATAATAACGATATGGTAGGAGATACACACCAAACAGGATGTGTAAGTTATTATATAATAAGTATTGTGCAATAGCAAGAAATTTTCAATTGCACAGTATTGCGCAATAGCAAGAAATATCCAATAGCACAATATTGCACAATAGCAAGAAATTGTCAATTGTACAGTATTGCGCAGTAGCAAGAAATATTCAATTGCACAGTATTGTGCAAAAGAAGATACTTCGTATAAATTGCTTATAACTTGATCAATTTCAATGGGGTTTTATTCTTGAATTCTTGGGGTTCTTTAATATGCTGAATCTAACCGTGTATTAAGTTTTTGGATTTTGGGCCCCGTTTTTAAATTGGTCCACATTGAGGTCCAAAGGGTCCAAAATTTAACTTTGTTTGATTTCGTCAAAAATTGAATTATTGGGGTTCTTTGATATGCCGAATCTAACCGTGTATTTAGATTCTTAATTTTTGGTTCCATTTTCAAATTGGTCTACATTAAGGTCCAAAGGGTCCAAAATTAAACTTAGTTTGATTTTAACAAAAATTGAAATTTTAGGGTTCTTTGATATTCTGAATCTAAACATGTATTTAGATTTTTGATTATGGGCCCAGTTTTCAAGTTGGTCCAAATCGGGGTCCAAAATTAAACTTTGTTTGATTTCAACAAAAATTGAATATATGGGGTTCTTTGATATGCTGAATCTAACCATGTATTTAGATTTTTGATTTTTGGGCCCCGTTATCAACTTTGTCCACATTGAGGTCAAAAGGGTTCAAAATTAAACTTTGTTTGATTTCATCAAAAATTGAATTCTTAGGGTTCTTTGATATGCTGAATCTAACCATGTATTTAGATTTTGGATATTGGACCATAATAGGTGAATGTCC